TGTGACTCTGGAGCTTACTGGTTTTATGTTCTTCATGGGAAAAAAAAAAATACACAGAGAGCAAAAAATGTTCGAATTTGAGGGTGATATAGCAGAAAACTCAAGGCCAATGCTGCCCAGCTCCTGAGAGAAGGAAAGGAAAGAGGAAAGTAGAGAGGGAAGAGGGAAGGGACAAGAACAGCTCTGCAGAAACACACCAAACCTCCAAAGCAGTCCCTGGTGCCCGCTCTGCTAGGCAACTACAGCCAGACCTCGAATGAAACATCCTCAGTCTTCTTCTCTCCCTCCCTTTTGCAGCCTCCAAATAACCCCAAATTAAGCAAACTCAAGGAGCAGAAGACACCGGACTCTGAAGCAGCAAAAGCAGAGATGGTTAGTGTCTCTCTCTCTTGTCCGCACACAGTATCCCCAGTTGTGACAGAGATATCTGGCAGCCCCATAATCACTCCTGCCCTGTCCCAGCTTTACCAGTTGTCCAATAAAGGGATTTTTGCAGCAGACGCTCTGCTCCTCTGCCTCCAGCCCATGGTGGGTAGGTGTTATGCTGCACTGGGAGGATGCAGAGCAGGTGGGAGGGGATAAATTGTTGGCAGCTCAGGGACAAAGTGACACCTGTCTTTGGGACAGCCTGGGCAGACATGCTCCTTGCTCAGGAGGCAGATTCTTCCACTCCCCAGTCCTTACACTGCTCCAGGCATAGAGCAAGGATGCAATTTCCCCTGGGAGCCAAGAAAGATCCTCAAACCTGAGTCTCACATGCACTGCTCCCTCAGCTTGTCACATTAGGGCCCAGTGCAGCTGTCACTTCCCACCAGCATTCCTGCTGCCAACTGAGAACCTCCTCCTACACTGCCCACACATGCCCTGCCCTCCATGGCCACATCCAACCCTGGTTCTGCCGTGACACAGATTCAGCTTTATTGCATGTTCTGCAAATTCACAGCCAGATCCATGGAAGGGTCTGGGAACAGGAAAACAAGGGGGAGGGCTCTCCTGCCCCCCTGCATGTGCCTGACACCCCTGTGCAGGCAGGACAGTGTCCTGAGCCAGTGCCACCCCATGTCCCTGTGAGGTGCCAGGAGATCTCAGCAGGATGCAAGGGCCTCTCTGCTCTGGCTGCAGGAGAGCCAAGATGGGAGAAGCTCTTGCAGGCAGCTCAGACTGCAGTGAGGACAGCCAGTCCCAGCTGACACCATCCTCAGAGCCTGAGCCCTGCGTCACTGACCAGAGCTCCTCAGGACCCACAGGGTCCTTGCAGAAACCCTGGTCTCCAGTGCTACAGCTATGGCAGGAAATTGTGGACAGCAGTGATGAATTCTTCAAATTTATCCTGATGGACTATATGGCCTGCACCTTTAATGTACTGGATCTCTGCCTTGGGAAAGAGGCGTTGGATCTCTGGGTAGTCTCTGGAGCTGCAGGACAAGGGAACATGCCATGATCAGAGTTCCCTCCTGGTGTCTTCCCCCACCCTTCCCAAGCAGAGCATGATCCCAGATATAACTTCTTCCCTTTTGGGAAAGCCCAAGGGGCCCCCAAATTCCCCCGGCTCCAGCGTGTCGGTGTCACTGGCTGCTGGAGGAACAGCTCTTGCTCAGGACCTTCCCCATCCCGGAGACTCCTCCCACCCTCAGCAGCTGCAAAGAGCACAAAAGGTCAAACCACAGACCTGGAACCGCTTCTCTCCAGTCTCACCTGATATAGGGCGAGTCGGACCCTCCCAAGAAGAGTGCAGGACCAGGATATGGTTTGTGGAAGAGAGGGAAGTTCATGATATCTGCCAGGTGCCGGGAAATAGCCTCCAGGTTCACCCGCCACACATAGCGGCCCTCCACCTCCACCAGGTTGGTGAGGAGGAACTGTCTCAGCTGTGGGAGCTGCCATAGAAGGGGATCATGTGCTCTTCAGTAAGAGCAACAGAGGAGGATGTCCTGGACTCTCCATCCTCCCCCATCTCCCACAGCATTTCCTACCTTGACCACGGGCTGCAGCTGGTCATCTGCCAGCTGGCGTGCTGCGGAGCGGGACAGCCCCGCTGGGACCTTCACCTCCTTCATGGCTGAGATGTAGGCAGAGAATTCGGACACGGGGGCGGTTGAGCCAGGACCAATGTCTACGGAGATGAGGCGCTCCACCAGGTCTGGCTGGAGACACAAGCAGAGCAGATCAGATGCCGGGATCTCCCAAGATCTCCCCAGTGGAGGGGGCACAGGGCTACACTCCTAGTCAGATTCCCTGGAGGCTCGTAGCTCCCTCTTGTTTCAGCAGAGACCTCCATGTGCCCTTCCCACAGTCCTTGTGCTTGGGACAGATCTCCAAGCTCCCTCACAATTAGTGCTGGAGGGACAGGGCAGAGCACGGGCTGGTGGACATAGATTTGCTCCTGTTCCCGTAGCCTGGCTTACAGCTCTGTATGGAACAGCACCCACTCTGATACAGACAAGTCCCTGTGGAGCTGGAGGCAAGGCTCGGAAGGTGCCATCCACTTCCTATAGCCCCCCCTGGAACTTCCCGAGCCTGTGACCCCACTCCCAACCCAGTTTCTGCTGACCCGCTGCAAAGCCAGTGTCATGGCTGTCTTGCCCCCCATGCTGTGTCCCACGAGGATGCACTTGGTGATGCCCAGGCGGCTCAGGAGGTGCTGCACGTCCAGGCTCATCGCTTCATACGTCATCACGGGGCTGTGGGGGCTGCTGCCATGGTTCCGGGCATCCACTGTCAGCACCTGCCTGGGCAGGGGCAGCATGTCACCCCAGGCACTGCCCACCATCACCTCGGACCCCTCCCTGAGTGCTGTACCTCCCGCCAGCCCTGGGTCTCACCTTGCCGCTACCACGGCGCACCAGGGCCTTGGCCACCGTCTTGAAGTTGCCATGGCTGCCAAAGAGCCCGTGGAGCAAGACGAGGGGTGGCCGATCCCTGCGACCCTCCACCTCCTCATGGGCCACGGGCACTGCACTGCAGGGAGATACGCATGGGTTATGGCCAGAGGTGCAGAGAGAAAGTGAGCCCTGCCTCTCTGCCCAGCCCTGGTGAGGCACCTCTGGAGAGCTGTGTCCAGCTCTGGATCCTCAGCACAGCAGGGGACAGGGAGCTCCTGGAGCGGGGCCAGCACAGGCTGTGAGGATGAGGAGGGCCTGGAGCATCTCGGTGCCCAGGAAAGGCTGAGGGAGCTGGGGCTGTTCAGGCTGGAGAGGAGCCCCAGCTGAGAGGGACCCTCAGCCCTGGGTGTCCCTGTGTGCAGGGAGGGCCAGAGCAGGGCCCAGGCTCTGCTCCAGGGCCCAGCAGTGGCACCAGAGGAACGGGCAGGGACTGAGCCCAGCAATTGCCCCTGCACAGGAGGCAGAACTTCTGCCCTGGGCAGTGCCCAACCTGAACAGGCTGCCCAGGGAGGGGCTGGAGTGTCCCTCAGCGGGGATATTCCAGAGCCACATGGACACAATCCTGTGCCCTGTGCTCTGGGATGGCCCTGCCTGAGCAGGGAGGTGCCACCAGTGACCCTCTGTGCCCCCTTCCAGCCTGGCCCACCCTGGGATTCCGTGAGAGCGCGGCCAGGGCTGGGCCAAGGGCAGGCGAGGAAGGGGGCGTGGCTAGGGCACGGTCAAACCCGCCCACCGCCCGTGTGGGGACCCCGTGCAAGAGGCGTGGCTTAAGGAGGCGTGGCCAGCCCCCTGGTGGCGGCCACGCCTCTGCTCGTGGGATTCCTGCCCCGAGCCCTTCCTGGGACAGCTCCCACCGCCCCCGCCCCGCCCGCGCGCGGCCAGGCCCTTACGTGGCCACGGAGCGGGCGGCGGCGGCGGCGAGCTGCGGGAGGGGCGGCGGGGCGGGGGCGCGGGGCAGCCGGCGGAGCACCATGGCGGAGGCGGAGGCGGCGGCGGCGCGCGGGCCGTGACGAGCCGTGCGCGGGAGGCCCCGCCTTGCCCCGCCCAACGGCTGCGGGCGCCCCCGCGCGGCAGGACGGCGGCAGCGCGCGCACGGCGACGGTCACGGCGGGGCCCGTCCCGCTGCTGCCCCCGGGGGCACAGAGCGGGCAGCGGGGCGGCGGGGTTGGGGCCCGGGGAAAGTGAACCGGGCGGGACGGCTCCGTGCGGCGGGGGTGTTCCGCAACGCCGTTCCGCCCGCAGGCACAGCGGGACCGGCTAGCTCAGCCCCGCACTCGCCGCCTCCGGCCGCGCTTCTCCCAGGATCGGCTCCGCGCTCCTGCGGTGGCTCTTGCCCCTTTGTCCCTGCCCGCTGGAGCGTGGCAGCGGGCGGGAGGGAGCGGCCGAGCAGGGCGGCCTCGCCCCAGCGCGGCTCCCGGGCGGGGGAAGCGCCTCGCGGCACCCCCGGCGGCCCCAGACTTTGGACTGCGGGCAAGGAGTGTCCCTGCGGCATCCAGCGGCTCCTCCGCTGCTTCCCGCCCCGACCGTTCCCGGAAAGCTGCCCCTGGAATGCGGGGGGACAACGGGTCCCCACCCCGAGCAGGGACGCCCGGCGCGGGAGGGAGAGGGGCTGCGGCTGAGCCCTCTGTCCCCAGCCCCGTGCCGCTCGGGTGCTGCCGTAGCAGTGTAGGGTGCCTTGGGGGCCGGTTCCCCAAGTGTCCCCCCGCCCTGTGCCCACCTCGATCGTGCCGCACATCGCAAGGACACTCGGGTACCAAAACAGGACACGTTTATTGACAAATGTAACCGGTACAGACCACGCGTAACAGGGACAGACGGTGCCGAGCCAGCAGCGATGGGGGGACACAGCAGGGGGGCACCGTCCCCATCCCGTCCTTATCCTGCCCCATCGGCGTGGCAGGACCTTGCCGGGCGCTGCTTCTCCCGCCGACCCGAAACTGCCTCGTGTTTAACCGAAACTGTCTCTATTTACACA